ATTTGGTGTTTGTGTGTGTGTCTCTCTCTCACCATCACCACAGTGGCTAGGAGATGTTAACTACCTCGCCTGGTATACAGGATGGTCGTGGGTTCGATCACGACCCTGACGCCTGCTGTTGTATATTTGGAGTTTGCGTGTCTCTCTCTCTCACCATCACCACGGTGGCTAGGAGATGTTAACTACATCGCCTGGTCTACAGGAGGTCGTGGGTTCGATCCCGACCCTGACGCCTGCTGTATATTTGGTGTTTGTGTGTGTGTCTCTCTCTCACCATCACCACGGTGGCTAGGAGATGTTAACTACATCGCCTGGTCTATAGGAGGTCGTGGGTTCGATCCCGACCCTGACGCCTGCTGCTGTGTATTTGGAGTTTGCGTGTCTCTCTCTCACCATCACCACGGTGGCTAGGAGATGTTAACTACATCGCCTGGTCTACAGGAGGTCGTGGGTTCGATCCCGACCCTGACGCCTGCTGCTGTATGTTTGGAGTTTGCGTTTTTTTCTCTCTCCCCGTGTCCGCGTGGATTTTTCTCCGGCCCCTCCGACTTTCCCCCTCCACGTTTAGAGTCAACTTCATCATGACGTAGTTCTGTGTTTGGCTGCTGCCACGTGATAATGATGACGACGATTATGAGCACGCCACCTCGTTGAGCAGCCAGGTCGCTTCTGGGAAAAAAGCTACACAGATCAGTGCGGCCTTACACCAGGTTAAATAATTTTTTAAATATCATTTAATTATTTCATGTTCGCCGTGGACCGGGGGTCGAACTCAGGTGGTTCGTATTCTGCGCGGTGCGCTAACCGCTGCGCCACCGCTCCCCGTCGTTAATGTATTTAGCACAGTGAGGAAGGGGAGTGTACAAGCGTTACTGACTAGACCGCCTCTGCAGAATAATGATGAACTCCAAATGCCCCCTCAGCATTTGACCTTATCAAGAAATAAGATGCAGGGAAACACCCGCAGGTTTGTATCTACGATTTTTCTTTTTAAATACAAATTTATATATATATACAATTGTAAATGTATACTTTATTTAATCCGTGGCCTGTTCCTGGGGTACACACGCTACTTGTGATGCGTGCCAGCCACGCATCACGACTCAAATGTATTGTTTGTTTTAGTGATTTGTTTACCCGTGTTATACTCTGCGCTCCTGCCATTGTTTGTTGGTGTTGTAACGTTGTGACCCGCACCTCCTGGGCATCTGTGGCATGGAGCGTCACAGCTCATGGGGTTGCTCCAGGATGAATAAAGTAGCGAGGAGTCCCTGCATGGCTGCAGCGAGCCCCCCGGTAGGAGCAGGGGGGGCTGCTCGGGCCATGTGGAGGAGCGGTGGCGCAGTGATGGGTGAGTGGGTGAGTGGGTGGGTGGGTGGGTGAGTGAGTGGGTGAGTGGGTGAGTGGGTGGGTGAGTGGGTGAGTGGGTGGGTGAGTGAGTGAGTGGGTGGGTGGGTGAGTGGGTGGGTGGGTGGGTGAGTGAGTGGGTGAGTGGGTGGGTGGGTGAGTGGGTGGGTGAGTGGTTGGGTGGGTGGGTGAGTGAGTGGGTGGGTGGGTGAGTGGGTGAGTGAGTGGGTGGGTGGGTGAGTGGGTGAGTGAGTGGGGTGAGTGAGTGGGTGAGTGGGTGGGTGGGTGGATGAGTGAGTGAGTGGGTGAGTGGGTGGGTGGGTGAGTGAGTGGGTGAGTGGGTGGGTGGGTGAGTGAGTGGGTGGGTGGGTGAGTGGGTGGGTGGGTGAGTGGGTGGGTGGGTGGGTGAGTGAGTGGGTGAGTGGGTGGGTGGGTGGGTGAGTGAGTGGGTGAGTGGGTGGGTGGGTGGGTGAGTGGGTGAGTGGGTGAGTGAGTGGGTGAGTGAGCGTTCGAGTGTGCGGGTGGGTCGGTGAGTGGGCGGGTGAGTGGGTGAGTGTACAGATGGATGGAGTGTTTGTGTGAACTAATATAAATAACATGTAAAAATCATTACATTAAAGGATTTGGCCTTTAACCGGTAGCAAAGCATTTATTTGCAAGGCAATTTAACAAATTGCACGAACATGAATACAAAAACATGTCGTAACTCCCGGTCAAAGTGCGCCATCTAATGGGGAAATGGGGGCATTACAGGAGAAGGGGAAATTTAATTTAATAATAATAATATTTGGACAAGTTCGGCGGGCCGGATTAAAAAGCCCAACGAGCCGTGTACGGCCCGGGGGCCGTGTACGGCCCGGGGGCCGTACTTTGCCCATGTCTGATCTAGAGGGTGGTGCAGATGTCTTGTAATCCCCTATTAATCCTCTAAAACTCAACCGTTCCGAGAAGTCTGCAAGTTGCAGGGTGGGTGTCCCGTTCACCGCTCACTCTCGGAACGGTGCAGCGTTAATTGCATTTAGAGAGGCGTAGCAGCGCCGTCGTTTTCAAAGACATTACGCTCACCGCAGAGAACTGTAGCGACACGACCACCGCACTCTATGATAGCTGGCGCCAAACGATGCCGCGCGCCCTCCCGCATGGCCTTGTGGGAGCCTCGGTACATTTTCTGACCTGAAGACGTACCGATAAATGTACTTTACTTTAGTTTGATGACGTGCACGCACGCCATCGGAATGGGAAAGGGTTACATCAACATGTGTTTTTTTAAAAGTAAGATTGATTTAAATCGTAAATTATCATGCAAAGGGATGAACAAGATGTTAGGTGTCAATTAATTGGGGGGCGAGACGGGGATCACAAGACATCCGGACCACCCTGTCCATCAGCCGTACGCAAGGAGAAACGCACTGGGGTTGAGATGGACGCTTTGCGGAGTCGCTCTTTCGTCCACCTCTATCCCCGCGGCCCCGTCTCGCCGGAGGAGGTCGACTCAAGCGCGAGATCGGGGCGTGTACCTACGGGCCAGATCCAGCTTCTCAGTTTGGCTCAAAAGCGCTGTGATGGAAACGAGCTATGGATTTTCTTATTTTGTCTTTAAAGTTAGAATGGGGGGGGGGGGGGGAGATGATTGGAAATGTGATGGTTGGAGTTGGTGTGTGTGAATGTGTGTGTGAATGTGTGTGTGAGTGTGTCTGTGTGTGTCTGTGTGTGTGGGGGGGAGTGGTAGTGTAGCGGTTAGCGCTACGCTGCGCTATGAACCCGGCGACCCGGGTTCGATTCCCGCTCACGGCCAACACCAGTGACGATTATCTGAAACGGTCCTGGGCCTCCCCCCGTAGGTCGACTCAGCCTGAAACGAGTACCTGGTGTGGTGTGTAAACATCGCCACTGGGGAGACAAAGGCGACCACGTCTGCCGTTACGGCCTTCATAGGTGCTACTCGCTAACAGCACTTGCCCCAACAGTCTGATGAGGCTATACGGGGGGTCTTTGTCTTTGGCTACTTTCAATGCATGGAATCCCGCACTGAATAACACTCTGTGGTCACCCCCACCCTGAATCTCCGCTCCCCTCTCATCTTCGAGACCTCCACCTCTCTACCTGAACCAGCTGAAGCTTCCCGTACACCGCGTGACCTCTGTGCGTCCACCCCCCCCCCCCCTCTGAACCCCTCCCCTCTCCCCGCCCACTGTGAAAACAGACTCCGCTCCTCCCGCTTCGTGCAGCAGCAGCAGCAACACCAGCAACAGCAACAGCAGCAACAGCAGCAGCAGCAGCAACAGCAGCAGCAGCAACAGCAGCAGCAGCAACAGCAGCAGCAGCAGCAACAGCAGCAACAGCTGCCTCTCCTCGTCTCCCCAGACCTCTCCGCTCCTTCCCCACCCTTCTCCTCGCATCCCCCGCTCCGTTCTCCGCTCTCTCTTCCCTCTCTCTCTTTGCCCAACACGCGTCACGTCACCCGCTCTGCTCTCTCCCCCCCACTCCCTTCCCCGTGCAGGTGCCAGGGGTGGTGCAGCAGGCGCGCGCCTTGCTACGAAGAATTAAAACAAAACATCCGCTCCCTGCTGACCATCTCCCGTTCAGAGCCCTGCAGAGCCGGTTTGTGGAAATTCCACATTCCTATTGACGGGGTGACATGTGCCCATCTCCCGTTCACAGCCCTGCAGAGCCGGTTTGTGGAAATTCCACATTCCTATTGACGGGGTGACATGAGCCCATCTCCCGTTCACAGCCCTACAGAGCCGGTTTGTGGAAATTCCACATTCCTATTGACGGGGTGACATGATCCCATCTCCCGTTCACAGCCCTGCAGAGCCGGTTTGTGGAAATTCCACATTCCTATTGACGGGGGTGACATGAGCCCATCTCCCGTTCACAGCCCTGCAGAGCCGGTTTGTGGAAATTCCACATTCCTATTGACGGGGTGACATGAGCAGCTGTGCCAGAGCTGGCAGACGCTCCGATTCGCGCGCGCCCGATGGCATTGTGGCAACGCGGCCTCTGCGCTCAAGGCTTCACCAAAGCGCGTTTTGTCGCGCGCGAGTCTTCCTGTGCGGTAGCGAGCTGGTTTTGTTGTGCCACGCAGTGGCTGGATCATTTTTTTATTGATCGGGTCAGATTTGTTGTTTTTCGGCGTGCCGAGAAACTCCTAGAAGCAGCGGCGGGGTACAGAGGTGGGGTGGGGGGGGGGGGGGGGTGGGGGCACGGGGGGGGGGCACGGGGGAGGTACGGGGGGGGGTGTACGGGGGGGCGGGGGTGGTTACGGGGGGATGTACAGGGGGGAGGTACAGGGGGTGTACAGGGGGGGGGGGTGTACGGGGTGTGTACGGGGCGGGAATCGAACTCGGGCCACCACGGTGGCTAGGAGATGTTAGCTACCTCGCCTGGTATGCAGGAGGTCGTGGGTTTGATCCCGACCCTGACGCCTGCTGCTGCTGCTGTATATTTGTAGTTTGCGGTGTCTCTCTCTCTCATCATCATCATCACGGTGTCTAGGAGATGTTAACTACCTCGCCTGGTATGCAGGAGGTCGTGGGTTTGATCCCGACCCTGACGCCTGCTGCTGCTGCTGTATATTTGCAGTTTGCGGTGTCTCTCTCTTTCTCTCCGTGGTCGCGTGGGCCTGCGGTTTTTCCCTCCCACATTTAGAATCTGCATCACCACGCGTTCAGAGAATTTGGTTTCTGAAAAGTTTCCACGTGACAATAAGCGGCTTCGATGAGCTATCAATTGTGGCCAGGTCACTTCTGACAAAATAACTTCCGAGCTCGGTGGGCCTTACCTGGTTAACGTAGATCAATAAAATAGATTGAAATTGTTTCATTTTTAGGGTCGCCGGGTTCGTTAGCGCAGTGCACTAACCGCCGCGCCACCACTCACAAGGACCCCGCCTCCCGCGTGCCTTATAAGGAAGGCCGAGACAGAGCTGAGAGTGAGAGAGAGAGGGAGGGAGAGACTCTGAACATCATCGGCGGAGAGAGAATCTGAAATTATTGTCGCCTCTGCTGGGAAAGGAGAGAGGGAGGAGTAGGAGGAGCCGGCCGATCCGAGCGGTCTTCAACACCAGCCAAGAACTCTTCGCCACCAACTTCCCGTACGTAACCCCGTTACATCATTCACATGTTTTGAGGCTGAGTCGACCTAAGGGAGGCCCAGAACCGATTCAGATGATCGTCGCTGGTGTCGGCCGTGAGCCGGAATCGAACTCGGGTGGCCAGGTGCGTAGCGCTAACCACTACACTACCGCTCTCCGCCATGCATAGATGCAAACAAAGACAAAGATCCTCCGTATAGCCTTAACAGACTGTAGGGGCAAGTGCTGTTAGCGAGCACCTATGAAGGCCGGAACGGTACACGAGGGAATGGATGGCCAGCACCACGCCCGACCGCCTTAGTCTCCCCAGTGGCAACGTTTTATCCACCGCACCAGGTACTCATTTGAGGCTAAGTCGACCTAGGGGTGGCCCAGTACCGGTTCAGATAATCGTCACCGTGGTGTTGGCCGTGAACGGGAATCGAACCCGGGTCGCCAGGTTCATAGCGTAGCGCGCTAACTGCTACACTACCGCTCCCCACTTATAGACGCAAACACACACACATACACGTGTGTGTATGTGTGTACCTAGTGTGATGTGTAAACATCGTCACTAGGGAGACAAAGGCGGTCGGGCGTGGTTGTGTGCTGTACCGGCCTTCATTGGTGCTCAATAACAGCACTTGTCCCAATAGTCTGTTAAGGGTTTACGGGGGATCTTTGTCTTTTAAATATACACACACGCGCGTGTGTGTGTGTGTATCCAGTTATGTGGGGAGCGGTAGTGTAGCGGTTAGCGCTACGCTGCGCTACGAACCTGACGACCCAAGTTCGATTCCCGCTCACGACCAACACCACGGTGACGATTATCTAAACGGTTTTGGGCCTCCCCTAGGTCGACTCAGCCTCAAATAAGTACCTAGTGCGGTATTTAGACATCGCTACTGAGGAGACAAAGGCGGCCGGGCGTGGTGCTGGCCACCCACCCCCTCGTGTGCCTTTCTGGCCTTCATTAGGTGCTTGCTAACAGCACTTGCCCCTACAGTCTGTTACAGGCTACACGGGGGATCTTTGTCTTTTTTTTGTATCTGGTTGTGCGTAAAAACTCCCAACTGCTTATATCGAAGGTCAACGAATGCTATTCCGTGTGCCACGAAGAAGGGCCCTTGCCCGAAACGTCGCGCGTTATGTATCTCGAGGCGACGCGTCTGCGGTGGTAGCTGTCGACGCGTGTTGAGTCCGGGTGGGGGTGGGAGGGGGAAGGAGGAGGAGGAGGAGTTCGTTTCCAGCAGCGCTGCCGGGGGTGTTGGTGAAGCAGCCTCGTGCTGACCCTCGACTTCCAACTCCAAAACACGCGAGGCGCCTGCGGGCCGCTCTTCGCCGCACAGCCGAACGCGCGCGCCACGCCTTCAACGAAAACAAACGCGTCCAGTGGCCCGACGTTTCGGGCGATGGCCCTTCTGCATGGACACGTGCATAGAGAGAAGGCAGCAGAGCGGGGTGGTGAAAGAGAGACAAGCGTTTTGTTTGCTCGGTGCAACTTCCAATTCAGGCTCCCCCCCTCCCCTCCCTCCCCTGTCGCTTCGCGAACACGTGTCCACTCCATGGCGAATGCCGCTCCCCGATTTGCGTGGTCTCAAGCCCTCGCAAGGCAGCGTGGTACGTCGCCGACGTCATCGCCCCCGTTATCCGTGGCCTCGCGGCAAACCCTTCGCCTCCGAGCCAGCCCGGCAGTCCACTTCTCGTTTTGACGTCGTTTCCTCGCTCCTCGTGTCGCCTTTCAGGAACGCATTCCCACACCGCCCCCCACTCCCCACTACCCCCAAGGTCCGCAACGTTAAGCGGGGGTACGCCTTGGGCTAGATCTCACGAGCACGAATGTGTTTCGTTAGCCCGACGCGGTCAACAAGCGCGGTTCGTCGCGTAAGCCGAAGAACGCGGCGGCGAGCGGCAACTTCAGCACCACCGGTGCGGCGGAGAGCAAAATCCACGGCGGCATTCAGGGCGTCGAGTGAGTGTCGCGCCGTTCCACTTCATGTATTTATTTAGTTCCGTTTATTTTGGTATAGAGCCCTGTGAGCCGTTCGGCTCTTGAATCGGGTGCAACCGCAACAAACAAACAAAAAAAAACGTTCTTAGCTCTTTCGGTAAAGTCACGTTGAAGGAAAACAATAAAATTATAAAATATATATTAAAAAAACAATTAAAATTCTCACAACGTTTCGACCATAACACAAACGGTCATCATCAGGTGATGATGACCGTTTGTCGTGTCACCTGATGATGACCGTTTGTGTTACGGTCGAAACGTCGTGAGAATTTTTATTGTTTTATATATTTTAATTATTTTATTGTTTCCCTTCAACGTGACTTTACCTAAAGAGCTAAGAATATGAATTACTGCAGTCACGAAAGCTTTAAATCAAAACAAAAACATGAACAAGAAAAACATCTTAAAGTGACCACGTGTCGCCGGTGATGACATCAACCGGCCAGAATTGTTCAGTTCTTTGGGTCTCTAGGTAAAGCCACGTAGACAGATCAAATAATAAAAAAAATATATTGTTAATATTAAAATAATAAAAAATATTCAATCTTGATTTGAAGCTTTCGCGATTGCAGGAACCCATACTCTTTGATTCTTTCGGTAAAGTCACGTGGTAGGTCATTGTTTTTTGCTGTGGTTGTCCCACCTGATGACGGAGGCTTGTGTTGCGCCCGAAACGCCGTGATTTATTTTCTTTTATTTCTACCTACGTGACTTTACCGAAATAACCAAAGAGTAATAAAAAAAAATTGTTATTATTTTTATTTAATATTTTTATTTATTATTTTAGCTATCTAACGTGGCTTTACCGAAAGACCCAAAGAATATGAATTCCGGCAGTCACGAAAGCTTTAAGTCAAGAATTGTTCTGGCTAAACAACAGAAAAACCTCGTCCCCGCGAAACATCACGGCGCTCGCATTGTGAACGTCGTGGTGGTATGGATTTACTCTCCGACACACCGGTGGGCACAAGCAGGCACCGATTTACATCATTAGAGACCTCCTTTGCCAGTACCAAATTGCAATAATAGGGTTTCCCCCTTTTTTTTCTGGCAACAAAACTGAAACCTTTTTACAAGGATTCGCGTTTGCATTAACCACAATACCTGCAGTCAAAATGCAAACAAATAACATACTAACATACTATGATAATATATGTTATTTGTTTGCATTTTGACTGCAGGTATTGTGGCTAATGCAGACGCGAATCCTTGTAAAAAGGCTTCAGGTTTGTTGCCAGAAAAAAAGGGGAAAACCCCTATTATTAGTCACAGATTGTCACGTTTTGTTAACGTGACCAAACCCACAGCTGTCACCCCATACGGTGGACTCCGTAGTCTTCTTGTGCAGGGAAGTTGCCTTTCCAGGTCCGTACAGCCGTTTCGATACGGGCAGTAATTTTTATTTTGTTTGCGTTTCTCCCTTGTGATGGGGCTTCGTAGGATGAACGTTGAGATTTTTAAGGGGCACGGGGTGACCAATAAGGTTCGTCTGTAATAAGCTAGGGCACTGATGAGGGGTTGACAAGTTTGCAAACTTTACTGATTGGTCGCGTCGGGTGGTGGCGGGTTTCACGAAACATTTATATATTTAACCTCCCCCCCTCCCCCCCAAAACAAAAAAAAACAACCCCCCACATTTATTTTATTCGCAAGAGTCTGGGACGTGTCTAGCGGGGCACTTACGACACTTTTCTCAATGAAGAATCACTTGTGATTCATCCAGTGTCTAACGTTGTCGTGGGGGTTTGGTAGAGCGCGTCGTTGAGACGAGCTGGACGAAGAGTCGACACTGTGACAGATATAAAGCACACGCACGCACACTCAGAAGTCGCAGAGTACGCGTTGACGACTATATACGTGAATTCGTTCACTTGTCATTCGAAGGTAAAAATTGTACGAAAAGTTTTGAAAGAATAAAATGTACCAGCGCACGCCGCTTCGCGGGAAGATGTGTGTCCTTGCCATTTGCGGTGTCATCGCTGGGCACCGCTGTGCAATCCGTTGCGTGGGTCTATAGGCCGAGGGGAGCTTTGTCTTTGTAAGCCGATACGAGGGCGATCTTTGTCTTCACTTGTGATGATGCGATGAGTAAACTTCGCTGCTGGGGAGACAAAGGCGGCCGGGCGTGGTGTTTGGCCACCCAGTACCCTCGTGCACCGTGCCAGCCTTAATAGGCGCATCGCTAGCAGCGCTTGCCCCAACCAGTCTTAAGACGCTAACCACTGCGCCACCGCTCCCCATTGGTGCGAGTGCTGTCTGCGAGCCCCCTGTTTTATAAGACGCGCGGTGTTGGCCACCCCAACCACCACCCCTCTCGTGTGCCGTGCCACTCGCTGGCGACGCTTGGCCTCGAGAATGTGCCGTGCCACTCGCTGGCGACGCCTTGGCCTCGAGAAAATGTCCGTGCCACTCGCTGGCGACGCTTGGCCCTCGAGAAAATGTGCCGTGCCACTCGCTGGCGACGCTTGGCCTCGAGAAAAATGTGCCGTGCCACTCGCTTGGCGACGCTTGGCCTCGAGAACATGTGCCGTGCCACTCGCTGGCGACGCTTGGCCTCGAGAAAATGTGCCGTGCCACTCGCTGGCGACGCTTGGCCTCGAGAAAATGTGCCGTGCCACTCGCTGGCGACGCTTGGCCTCGAGAAAATGTGCCGTGCCACTCGCTGGCGACGCTTGGCCTCGAGAAAATGTGCCGCTTAAAAAGGCCCCTAGGGTGCGAGCGGTGGCGGCAGGGGGTGGAATCTTTGCCCGCGCGATGTAAACCTGCGAGGGAATCTTTCTGATTTACAGAGACGGATATAATTTGCGACTTGTCAGCGCCGACCGGGCACGCCAAGTCGTCTTTGGCAGGCCATCACCAAGCCACTTAGAGTGATTCGACACCACCTGGTGAGAGGAGGGAGGGAAGCGGGCGGTGTTTGCTGCTCCACGGCTTTGAAAACGAATTCAATTTTCGAACTGCCTTTTGTTACTTTAAAAAAATATATATTGCTGTGGTTTTCACACCTGAT